TTTTTGTACTGGGGATCGAACTTGGGACCTTGTGTTTTCGAGGCAGGCAGTGGAACTACTGAGCTAAATCCCCGGCCCGTTGCCCTTAAATTTTTAACTAGGGCAAACATCCCAGTTTCCTCCTCAGTAGTTACTTTTCTAATTGTTAATAATTAGAAGATTACTAATTACAACTAATTAATGATAATAACTACCATTTTCTGTCTTTACAGAGCTGGGGGTCAAACCCAGGGCCTCCTGTTCTCATTTTGAATTACCCCATACTTTGGGTTAGGCACATTAGCTATTTTCTTAAGATGCAGAAGTTCAGGGATCACCCAAGGCCTAAGTGGCAGAACCAGGGTGTGAAATGGAAATTTGTCATTGTCAAAAACACCTATTTTCTTAACCACCAGCCAATTCTAATCTCACTGACTAAAGTTTGAGGTCACCTACACTGGTTTTCTCCCTTCCCTGGACCCTTCAGTAGTTGGAACCATCTTGCTATCTGGTAGAAAGTATAAAACAACCCCTTTCTCTAGCCCCTTGCTATAAGCAGTGTGGTCCACAGACTAGATACACTAAGCATCACCCGGAACTTGTGAGAAATACTAATTCTCAAACCCCACCCCAGATTTACAGAATCAAAATCTTCACTTTAGGGCTGGGGATTTAGCTCAGTGGTGCCAGGCCTGCCTCGCAAGTGCAAGGTCCTGAGTTCGATCCCCATACCAAAAAAAAAAAAAAAAGAATCTTCACTTTAGGCTGGGTATGCAGTAGTAGAGCACTTGCCTACCACATGCAAGGCCTTGGGTTCAGTCTGCAAAAACAAACAAACAAAAAATCTCCATTTTAACAAAATCTACAGGTGATTTATATGCATGTTAAAAATGAAGCAACCTGCCCACACTCCTGTAATCCCAGCTACTTAGGAGGATCAGAAGTTTGAGGCCAGCCTGACCTACACAGTGAGACCCTGCACACACACACACACACACACACACACACACACACACACGCACGCACGCACAAAAGAAGGCTCCTGACCTAGAAGAGAGCAGGTCTTCCAGCCTGAGGGCCTGGAGGGGAGGGTGTGTTTGCAGCTGAGCACAGGACTGGCCTCAGGGATTAGTGTCCAGCAGGGGGACCTGCGATCAGAAGGTGAAGAGCTTTGGAGGCTGGTCCTAGGAGCTGAGACTTCCAAGGAAACAGAAAACCGCTCCACTTAAACCCCGGGGTCAGGTGTGGATGTGCACAGAGCCTTCAGAGGAAACAGACTGAGCTGGGGAGAGTGGCAGAGCCATGACCCAGCCACCTGGGAGGCTCCCAAGAGCTCCTTTCGCTGGAGGCCAGTCTGGGCTACACTGTGACTCAAAACCCCAAATCACTAAGTAAACAAACAAATGGCTGGTGATGCACCTCATCGGTGGAGCGGCCCTGGGCTCCATCCCCAGTACAGGGGACAGAGGAGAAGAGAAGTGGGTTGATGGGCAGGAAGCAAGCACTCCAGCCCCAGTGAATGAAGCACAAGTAAGGCCTGTACTGGAAGGTGAAGGTCAGGGGACTGGGTGACAGCAACAGTCACAGAATGTCAGAGTGGGAAGGAACTTCTGAGATCACTAATTTATATAGAGAAATGAAACTCAAAGGCCACACAGCAAATCAAAAATTGCCGAGTTGTCTTGTGGGCAGAGTGCTAAGTGGTCACAGCACATGTGAATCCTCAGTTCCACCGTCCTTATTCCATATCCACTTACCCAAGTGGCACTTCTCAGGCTGGCACTCAAAGATTTGTATCATTATCCACTTTTACAGACGAAGAAGCTGAGGCAGAGTTGGTAAACGGTAGAGCTAAGATTTGACTGCTACATGGTGATTTACAGGCAGGGCCTGTAGTCCCTTTGGCTCTCACTGCAGGCCGCCCTCCACCCGGCTGCGCCAGTCCAGCTGAGGCGAGTCTCCCTGCTCCTTTGCTGCTGCCTCTACTCCAGGCAGCTGGCTGGCCGGCCCTGACCTGCTATCCCAGTCACACCGGTCTCCTGACTGAAGGTTTCGGACCTGTTATGCTCCAGCCCCACCTACCTTTCTAGTCTCATCTCTAGCCTTGGCTTCGGTTCTTTCCTCCTCCATCTGTCAGCCCCACAGCCTTGAAGGCCACCCGTCCTCCCTGGATTAGTTTGCCCTCGGTCCTGTCCAGGCCTCCGCTTGCTTTCTCTGCTTAGTCCCAGTCCTCAGGGGTCCGCCCCAAAATGGCCTTTGGTAAATATGAGCTGCCAAATCTCCAGAAGGACGACTTGGTCCAAGGTCCTGAACTTCAGGGAGAAGGTGAACTGTTTACATCATGTTCGTTACGTGCCAGCATCAGTTCCAGCTCTACATACGCATCCGGCACTCCTCACAGCTCTAGGAAAGTGCGAGGCCGACTCCCACGGTTTGGAAGCTGGCCCACGCTCACACAGGTGGGACGGCATGGAGCCGGGTGCCCACCCTACGCCCCGAGTCTGTGCACTTGCGTACAGGCCTGCGGGAGACAGGAGGCCGGGCCGGGCCCGCCGCGCGGGAGGAGGCCGCCAGCCGCTGCGCCGAGCCCGCTAGGGGGCAGCAGAGCGGCCTTCTCGGGACGTATCCAACATGGCAGAGCGGCTCCGGGGCCGCGGGTCGGGAGCGGGAGACCTAGAAGCCGCGGGTCTGGCGTGGGAGCCGAGGCGCCCTGAGGCCCTGAGGCGCTCGGGCCCCGGCCGGCCACTCCGCGCGCCGTCCCGAGCCCACCGCTCTCAGGCACCCTTCTGCTGTGAGGCCTCGTGTCAGCTGCCAAGAGGCTCTGGGCCTCAGTTTCCCCTGAAAAATGGAGTGCACACTCCCTGCAGCACGCATGGGGGCCTGGAAGCAGCGCCGGCTCTCGGGCGGTTCTGCCGAGGCCGACCCGACCCCGCCGTCGCCCGGCCGCCCGCGCACAGCCCGGACCGCGGCTCCGGGGCCTGGGGTACCGCGGGGACCCCGGAGGAGCCGGGTGACGAGCCCAGGGCAGAGGCGCGCGCCACCTACCTCCTTGGTGTCCACGGGGATCTTGAGCTTCACCACCTCGTACTTCTGCTCGCCCTCTTCTTCCTCACCCTTCACCAGCAGCACCATCTCCTCCTGCATCTCCTCCTCCTCCTCCTCCTCCTCCTCCTCCTCCGCCTGCTGCTCGCCCGGCATCCTGGCGTCCTGGGGAGGGAGCTGGGTCAGAGGCTCAGGACCCGCCTCCCCACCGTGGTCCCGGCCCAGCCTGGCGGTGAGCCCGGCCTCTCCCGCCCGGCCCTGGCCTCGGAGTCCGGCCCTCCCCGTCCACCTCTGCCCGGCCCCACGCTCCGGCACTGCTGGGGTCCAGCTCCGGAGACACTGGGCACGGCACTCGTCCCGGCACTCAAGGCCCTCGGCCGGTTCGAATCCGCAGCCCGGTGAGCCGCCGCCCTCCGCGCGCTGAGTCACTCCCGGGTGCCGGGTTGGAGATCGGAGCGCTCGGGGACCGGCTGGAGGCGGGATGGGGCGGAGACCCCGTGAGGGGCGCGCACTCACCAGGCGATGGCTCGGCGCCCCAGGGGCCCCGGGCCTACGCGCCGGGTTGCTGGCCGCTCGGCGAGGCCGCGGCTTAGGGGGCGGGGCGGGGGCGGTGCCCGAGCGGGCGCTCATTGGTCCGAAGGCCGCGCACCGCCCCGGGGCGGTGCCCAAGGGACCCAGGCGTCTGACCCACCTCCCTCCCGGCCCCCTAAGCGCTAGGAGGCGCCGCAGCCCGCGCTCGAGCTGCCGCGCGGGACCTCACCTGCCGCGGGCTGGCCTCCCTGGCAGGCTCCGAGCTCTCGGCGCGCCCGAGCGCGTCAGCTCCGCCCCCAGGAGGCCACGTGCGCTCCCGCCCCGCCGAGCCTCTTGCGGGCGCCCCGCCTGGAGGGCGGGCCTTGCTGCCTCGGACTCTTTCCCTCTGTTTTTCCTGTCTTCTTTGCTGCTTTTTCCTTCCGGGGCCTCCGGGCCTGTGGGTTTAGCTCTTTCCTAGAAGATATCCAGACTCCCGCCGTCCTGGTCCTGAGTGTGCCTACTGTGCGGCGTACGCGGAGTTGACACTGCATGAGGAGGACCCAGGGCCTTGCTGCAGAGAAGTAAACTGTCTGGATTACCCTTAAGGGTGTCAACATTCCTAACAACCTGTAAGTCGCGGTGGAAATTAGCAGCCCAGCGCCAGATCCAGTCTACAGGAATATCTTGTTTGGCCCTCAGGACTTTTACATTTTCTTTTTTTTTTAAGTTTCAGAATATATGTGTGTGCCGGGCGTGGTGGTGCACGCCTGTAATCCTGGCATTTGGGAGGCTGAGGTAGGAGGATTGCCGAGAGTTGGAGGAAAGTCAGAATTACAGGGTGAGACCCAATCTCAAAAAACAGAAAGAAAAAAAAACATGTATGAGCCCCTGGCTTCAATTCCCAGCACTGCCACCGTCACCAAAAAAAAAAAAAGTTTCAAAACAGAAGAGAAGCGAGGAGTGGTGGCGCAGGCCTGTAGTCCCAGCACTCAGGAGGCTGAGGCAGGAGGATTACTGCAAGTGTGAGGCCAGCCTAGTTTACATAGTGAGTTCAAGGCTAACCTCAACTACACAGTAAGACCCTGTCTGAAAAAAACAAAACAAGACAAAACAAAAAAACAAAAGAAATCTTTCACAAATTTAAATTTTCAACATTAGAAAATTGAGACATAGGCTGAGGATGCAGTCCAGTGGTAGCACACTTGCCTAACATGTGAGGCCCTGAGTTTGATTCCCATCTTCGTAAAGAGCAAAAAGAAGAGAAATGGAGGGGGAGGGAGAAAGGGAGACAAGGAAGGGAGAGAGAAAAGAGGGAAAGGAAAGGAAAGAAGGAAGGAAAGAAAAGAGGCACCATAGTGCATGCCCACAATCCCAGTCCTTTGAGGCTGAGGCAAGTTCAATGCCATCCTGGACTACATGGTGAGATCCCATCTCAAAACCATACAGAGGACCAGGGATTTAACTCAGTGGTTCTGGCGCCTGCCTCACAAGTGCAAGGACCCGAGTTTGATCCCTGGTACCAAAAACAAACAAAAAAACGAACAGAAGAAAAGAAAAGAAAAATTGGAATATTACATACAGAAATCTGGGGCCAGGATTTAGCTCAGTGGTATCGCTGCCTGACTCCCAGGTGCAACGTCCTGAGTTTGATCCCCAGTACCAAAAAAAAAAAATACAATAAACATATAGAAATCTGTATTTCCCATTTTCTTGAATAAACGGATACTGAATTCTCCCAGTTTATGAATGGCAACTAAGATTTAGAAAGAAGAAACAACAGGCAGTAAGAGTTTAGTCTCTGGGCTGTCTCTTTACAACAGTCCCAGCTAGGTTGGAGTAAGCAGGACCCCACTGGGAGGAAGGGAGGGAGGAAGCAGGTTTGCAGCTGGGTCCAAATGAGCTAACAAGGGGAAATCTATTAGGGGAGATGTGGCAAATGTATGCAGGGGCCAGATTATGGCTGGAACCCATCTCTAGCAAAAGCAAAGCTTGCTCTCCTTGTCTCAGGAGACCCTGAGGAGACTCACTGCAGGATCATCCTTTGGGGGCAGTGAAAGTGCCCAGCACAAGGAGCTTCCTGCTGCTGCCAACAGGTGCTTGTCAAGAGAAGGGAAAGGCTCTATTAACTTGCTGTACAAAAATGGGTATCCTACTTGCAACCCCATCTAGTTCCTGGTCTTGACAATCTCATAGTCTAGTAAGATCGTGATAAAATGTGACATACTGAGCTAGGGATGTGGCTCCATGGTAAAGCATGTACACTTAGTGTGTGCAAGGATATGGGTCTGATCCTCAGTACTGCAAAAAGTAATATACGTTATGAATTTTGTATATGAAAAGAACAAGCTGGGTGTAGTGTCGCACACTGTAATCCCAGGAAGCTGAGGCAGGAGTGTCACAAATTCAAGGTCATCCTGGGCAACCTAGTGATACCTTGTGTCAAAATAAAAACATAAAAAGGTCTGGGGATGTAACTCTGTGGTGGAGCACTCCTGGGCTCCATCCTTGGAACAGGGAGGTGGAGGGAACAATAGGTGTTCTGGCAGAGGAATCTTGGAGTGTGGAACTCCCTTGTGAGGGCTGGACATTGGGTATTGGGTGCAGGCCTTGCTGAGGAGATAAGCTATGAAAGGGCTTAAAAAAGTGGAGGGGGGTTGGGCCAGGGATTTAGCTCAGTGGTTCCACCGCCTGCTTCGAAAGGTCCCAAGTTCGATCCCTGGTACCAAAAAAAAAGAGGAGCGGGCGTTTGCCAGACTGACAAAGTTTATGGGCTCATAAACTCCTGTGACAAGCAGATCATATTTCAAGAACACCTTCACAAAACCATTTAGTGAGGTCTATGGGTTTCAGGCCCCTGTTAGGACTGGGAGTAGAAAATTGAATTTGGAAAAGTTGACATCTTCCTCCTCATTATTCTGCCTTTCATTATTTGCCTTCAGCCTTGTTGAATTGTTTGTTTGGTACCAGGAATCAAACTCAGGACTTTGCCAGGCAGCTAAGCTAAATCCTCAGTGGGCCTCCTGGAATTTTACCTTGTTGTTTAATCCCTGAGAATTTGGTGCATGTTCTTTATTCTGCTTAAAACATTCATTTTAGGGCCTGGGATTTAGCTCGCTGGTTCTGCCGCCTGCCTCAAAAGCACAAAGACCAGAGTTCGATCCCTAGTACCAAAAAAAAAAAAAAAGACACTCATCTTATATCTCAGCATCTTTTTTTTCTTTTTTCTTTTGGTACCGGGGATCGAACTCGGGTCCTTGTGCTCAGCATCTTTTTTTTTTGGTACTGAAGATTGTACCCAGGGGCTTTCCACTGAACTGTATCCCCAGGCCTATTATTATTATTATGGGGGGGGCGGTTTACTGGGGATCGAACTCAGGACCTTGCACTTGTGAGGCAGGCAGCGGAACCACTGAGCTAAATCCCCGGCCATATATATAGTTTAGTTTAGTTTGAGACAAGGTCTTGGTAAATCACTAAATTGCCCAGGGTGGGGTGGATCTTTTGAGCCTCCTGCTTCAGCCTCTCTGAATGCTGTGATTACAGGTGAGTGCCACCAGTCCTTTTTTTGTTTTGAACTGTGTCCCCCTCGGTTGCTCAGGCCGATCTTGGATTCCTGAGATCTAGCGACCCTCCTCCCCTAATCGCCCCTGGACTGCAGACCCCTGCCACCCGAACAGTTCAGAAACTGGAAGCTGACAAGTGTGGTGGTGCACGCTCATAATTCCAGCAGTGGAGAGGCTGAGGCAGGAGGATAACCGAGTTCGAGGCCAGCCTGGGGTTAGAGGCCAGAGTGGACTATATGGTGAGACCATCTCAAAAAAAAAAAAAAGGGAGCTTCCCCAGAATCAAGAACTTAATATTTGTGGGTGTGCTGGGGCTGGGGCCCCGGATCCTTCGTGCTAAGCACACGGTCTACCACTGAACTGCATCCCTTGCCCCAAAACAAAATTTAAGAAGCACGGCGTTAAAACCACCCCAGGTGAAGGCCTGCAGGCTGAATGAGGAGTTTCACTTTGCAGAGAGCGCACGGGGAAGTGCGGCGGGGGGCGGGGGGAGGGGGGAGACAAGGCCGAGATTGACTGCAGTCCACCGGCAGGCCAAACCGACGGCGCGGCTGCGCACTTCCGGACGGAAGCCGGTGGGAGCCAGGCCTGAAGGCGAAGCTCTGAGCGCTCAGTGATGCTCAGCTTGGCAGGGGCGGAAGGATTTCGGGGCCGCGCCCGCGCTATAGTAAGCGCTGCTAGCGTCTTAGGGAAGCCAGCGGATGGCTTCGCTCTCGCGTGAACCTCTAGCCAAGATTATTCCCGCGCGACCACTGAGACCTGGGGACTGGGAAGTGGACAGCCATGGGTGGACGCGTCCAAGTGCTTTTTGTCCCTGGTCGGGCAGGCTTGGTCCCCCCTCCCTATTGCGACAGCAGGGCCAGACAGCATGTTCCTCCGGAGGACGCCAGGGCCTCGGGGTGGGGGTGGGGGTGCGGGTTTCCCTTGTCCCCCAGGCGGTGTGCCGCCCTCCCCGACACTGGGCCCACTTTTCCTTTTTTTTTTTCCTCCGTACCGGGGATCGAACTCGGGTCCATGAGCTTGCGCAGCAGGCGGCGAAACCGCTGAGCTAAATCCCCGCCCCGCTTTTCCTTTTATGTGTGGCGCTCTGAGGTACTGCGAAGATGGTGCCTGCAGGAAGCCCCACCTTAGACGTCAGTTGATGGACGTCTTAAAACCAGAGGTTAGAGCTATAAAGCTGCTGACCGCGCCAAGACTTTATTTAATGGGCCAGAGAAGGCAGGGATCCACACAAGTTTACGGATGTCTTGAGGGCTTTGCCCTCGATGGCGGTGACCCTTCACACCATTTCTGATCCCTGCCCCACGTGTAAGTTGGTACACACTCACACTCACCCCTGCACAGAATTCAAACTTGAAACAAGAAACCGTTTATTAGTAAGGAGACGCATGGAAACGGGGCTTCTAGTTCTGCTCCCCGGGGGCAGTCAGTGGGTCTGTGCCGCTGTCCGCCAGCGGCTGAGATTACGACCTGCGGATGGAGGTTGAATGGGACTGTCCACTCCACCTCCCCCACTGTGATCAAGACACCCTGCCCTCATTTTGACACCTCAGATTCCACAAATTCCTTTGCTGCAACTATCAGGTCCAACCCTGGTCTCTGGGGCAGGGTTGGAAGTCTTTTTTCTTCTCTGTACTGAGGATTGAACCCAGAGAACACTGAGCTACATCCTAGCCCTTTCTGAGACAGGAAGTTGCCCAGGCTGGCCTTAAACATATTCCTGCTTCAGCCTCTTGAGTAGCTGGGATTTCAGATGTGAGCCATCCCCCTCACCAAGGGTTCAGGTTTTTGTTTTGTTTTGCCTTTCTGAGACAGAGTCTTGCTATATAGCCCAGGGTGGCCTTGAACTTGAAGCAATCCTCCCGCCTCAGCCTCCCAAGTGCTGGGATTACATATGTCCACCAGTGCACCCAGCGGGTCAGTTCTTAATAAGAGGTAACAGGAATATAGTATTTTTTTTTTTTTTTACGAATATAGTATTTTAAGGGTCCTCAGGCTAAGGGCAGTTTCTGTCAACAAGTATTTATTGAGTGTCTACTGTGTGCCAGGCCATGTTCTGAAGCTAGGGATTCAGCCTACAGCAGCAAGGCCCTGACCCCTAGCCAGGATGGTTTTCTGAGTGTGGGGTGTGGTCTCTGGTCTATTTCTATCCAGTCACTCCTCTCTCCATGCTTCTTCCCCTCCTCCTCCCCCCACCACTCCCAAGCCCTTTCTTTTCTGCTTGGCCAGCAGATCTCCCTTTGGTCTCGTGGGCCTCTGCCCCCGGAACCCCATCATTCCAGTCCTGCTGGTGGCTCCTCCTTGCGGGCCCTTGCCTGACCATCTCCTATCCCAGAGGGCCTCAGGACCAGGTGCCCACGCTGGTGCTTGATACGGGCAGAGCTGTCGCCAAAGCCCTTGCCACACTCTGCACACTTGTATGGCTTCTCCCCGGTGTGTGTGCGCCTGTGTTTGGCCAGGTCTGAGCTGCGGGGGAACTCCTTCCCACAGAAGCCACACGTGTGGGGCTGGCTGGGTCCAGAGGGCTGGGCTCGCACTAGGGGCCGAGGGGCCGTGGGTACCAGACCAGGGGGGTTGTGTGGCCGCAGGAGAGAAGGTGGTGGCGGCCGAGCACGTTCACCGCGGTGAGTGCGCAGGTGCTTGACCCGGGCGGAGCTGTCGGCGAAGCCCTTGCCACACTCAGGGCAGAGGTAGGGCTTCTCCCCAGTGTGCACACGGTGGTGCTTCACCAGGTCAGAGCTGCGGCGGAAGCCCTTGCCACACTCAGGACACTTGTGGGGCTTGTCTCCGGCCATCAGTGGAGGGGGGGGCTCACCGGCCTGTGGGCCCCCAGGCTCTGGCTCCAAGCCAGGCAGGCCAAAAGGCCCGTCTCCCGAGCGTGAAGGGCTCCGAGGGGTCAGTGGGGGGCTGGTGGCAAGAGGAGGTGGCGGTGGGCTGGGGATCAGGAGGGTGACAGGGTGGCTGGGGAAGCTGAAGGCCTGGGACTCCATGTGGGTGAGCCGGTGGCGGAGAAGGGTGGAGCTGAGGCTGAAGGTTCGGTCGCACTCGGGGCAGGCATGTGGCCGCTGCCCACTGTGGGTGCGCAGGTGCTTGACCCGGGCGGAGCTGTCGGCGAAGCCCTTGCCGCACTCAGGACACAGGTAGGGCTTCTCCCCGGTGTGCACCCGCAGGTGCTTCACCAGGTCAGAGCCCCGGGCAAACTCCTTCCCACACACGTCACAGCCAAAGGGTTTGGGCCCGAGGTGACTGCGCTGGTGGCTCAGGAGGCTGCAGCTGAGCACAAACCTTTTGCCACAATCAGTGCAGATGTATGGCTTGTCCTGGGCCTTGGGTGCCTGGGCAGTCGCTGTGGCTGCCCGAGAGGGCTGCCTTCGGGGCACCACTGGCCGGGGAGGCTGCTCCCCTCGGTGTGTCCGTTGGTGCTTTATGCGGGCAGAACTGTCGCCGAAGCCCTTGCCACAGATGCCGCATTTGTAGGGCTTCTCCCCGGTGTGTGTCCGCTGGTGTTTCACCAGGTCAGAACTCTGCCGGAAGCTCTTGCCACATTCGCCACAGATAGTGGGGCGTTCACCAGCAGGGATCCGGGGTCGAGGAATCTTTGGGGGCCCCTGGGCTGGTGGCCGGGCTCTGTAGGGCTTCTCCCCACTGTGAGTTCGCTGGTGTTTAATGCGGGCTGAGCTATCCCCGAAGCCCTTGCCACAAACCCCACACTTGTAGGGCTTCTCCCCGGTGTGTGTCCGCTGGTGTTTCGCCAGGTCTGACATCTGCCGGAAGCTCTTGCCACACTCCCCGCACACTGCAGTCCGGTCAGTGCTGGCCTGGCCCCAGCGAGGTTCTCCCAGGACCCGGGGCCCTCGGTCCCGTGGCTGAGGCTTTCCCAGCCCCTCTCTCTGGACCCATAAGTCATCCCAGGTCTGGATGCCTTCAGGTTTGAGAGAACCACTTCCTACTTCGTGACCTGGGGCCAGATCTTCCTCCTCCTTGAACCCCAAGTCATCCTCATCCGGTGGGGTTTGTTCAAACTCACTGGGCTGAGAAATCTCCACATTCTCACTTCCTAGACCTGGGGAAAGAAAACGGGATTATAGACCTCTACCTTTGGTTCAGCCTTTTTCTCTTTTTTTTGATATATATTTGTTTTTTAGTTGAGACAGGGTCTCAAGATGTAGTCCAGGCTGGCCTCAAACTCTCGCCATCCTCCTGCCTCAGCCTCCTGAGTGCTGGGATTACAGGTGTGCATCACCACACCTGGGATCTTTTGATGTATATTTGGTGCCAGGAATCAAATCCAGGGCCTAGCACACCCTAGGCAAGTGCCCTACCACTGGGCTACAACCCCAGCTTCACCTCTTCAGCCTCTGTCTTTGATAATAAGGGAGACTTCCTTGCAAAACGTGTGACCTCAAGGATCCCTCGTTGTTTGATCCCTCGTTCACTTACTGTGAATATCTCTCAAAAATAATACTAATGACAACTTCATTTTACTATGCCCTTAATATATACCAATCACTAAGCAATACTGGGTCCTCACAAATACTTGTAGGGGAAAGCACTATTATTATCCTCATTTTACAGTTATGGAGATGCAGAGTTTAGGTCATGTGCTCAAAATTCTAATAGTTAGAAGGTAGCAAAGTCAGATTTCTAACTCAGGTCTGTCTGATACCCAAAGCTGTGTTAACCACTTCATTATATCACCCTTATCTGGAAAACCCAGTATTTGCTCTATTGTTATATCAGCCTGTTCCGTATTTATCTGTCATCCTGTGTTTATCTGAATGCACTCAAATCCACCCCTCAATGTCTAGGGGTGGTAGGAGAGATATGATAAAGTATCAATAATTGGGCCTGGGATTTAACTCAGTGGCGCTGCACCTGCCTGGCAAGCCCAAGGTCCTGAGTTTGATCCCTGGTACAAAAAAAAAAAAAAGATTAGGAGATAAGATAGGCATTTGCAGCAGAGCAAAGAGAAAAATCATTGAGAAGAATGAAAGATAAAGCTGGAAAAGGATATTGCAACTAGTCTCAGCATGCAAGGTTTGGGCTCAATAGTAGGCTAAGTAAGACAGGTTTTTGTTTTGTTTTCTGTACTAAGGATTAAACCTAGGGCCTTCACACTGAACTACATTCCCTAGTCCTTTTTAAATTTTTTAAAATTGAGAGACAAGGTTTCACTAGATCACTATGTTGCCCAGGCTGGTTTCAAAAACTTGACATCCTCCTGCCTCAGCCTCACAGAGTGCTGGGATTGCAGCCATTCACTAGGTGCCCGGCTTGATAAAAGTAAAGCTTTTAATTAGTAGTTGCACGGGAATTAGGGTAGGTTTTTGAGAAGACAAAATTAGATCTGCACTTGGATCCATGTGGCTCCAGAATCATCACTGGGGAACAACGCCAGAGGGGAAGCTGTAGCAATTGCAATCGCTCAGACACAATGAGGCCTCCAGTAGGGCAGAGGCAGAGGGCAGCGAAGACTGCGGGGGAGGGAGGAGAGGCCTTGAGAACGCCCCTCAGCCTGGCGCGGTAGGTGCTGAGGAGCGGGGCTCTGTCCACCGGGCACAGCCTGCGTCCTATTTCTCCTGGGTTTCCTTCAGGCAGGGGCCAACCTCGGCGTCCCCACCCAGCATTGCCTGCCCCGGCCGCGCGGCCCTCACCTGTGCGGGCGCCTCCCAGCGGCTCCCTCCGCTCCGGACCATGGAGATCTGAGCCCCACGGCTCCACGGCGCGCTCCATCGCCCGCACGCCGCCCGGGGCAAGGGGACAGCCGCATACTCCGCGGTCACGCAGCCATGTGACCCGCCGGCCGCCGCTGCACCTGCTGCTCCTCGCCTCGCGGGGCCGGCCGTGCGCACTTCGTCGGCGGTCTCCGGCCCCACCACACCGCGCTCTCCGGAGCTTCTCCCCGGGGCGCGGGTCTCCGAGCCACCAGCGGCTCCGGGGCGCGGGCTCTGCTCCAACTGGGGGGGGGGGCAGGCGCCGGGGGAGGGGGCGCCGGGGCGGGGGCGGAAGCGGAAGCGCGGTGCGGGGCCGCTCTAGGACGCGGGAGGACCCGCGCGCCCGTGGGGTCGCCCGTGCTGCAGGAGCTCGGTGACCGGCGGGCGCCGGGAGGTCCGCTCTGAGCCGAGGACGGCGGCGCGAACTCGGTGGTATTAACCGTGTGCTTCCTGGGCTGCAGCTGGGCGGCGGGGGCCCAGGAGTCCTGATCCTCGTGGCGTCTCTGGCTCCCCCGCAGACCCCGGGGCTGGCCGGCCGCGGGCCCGGAGAGACAAAGAAAGACTGATCCGGAGGCGATGGGAAAGGGGTGGGGGAGAGACCCGGCAGACAAAGGACGGCGGGGACCCAGACGGGGCGGGGCGCCAGATCGGGGAAACAAAGCCAGCGGTCTGAGGGGCCGAGGCCGGCGGTTGGGGCTGGGCTGGGCCGGGCCGCCAGGTGAAGGCTCTGGGGAAAGGCGGGCGGGGGAATCAGACAGCCCCGGCAAAGGAGCCCCCGAGCCAGGCAGAGCAGTCCTGATGAAAGAACCCGGGTCGGAGGACCCTGGGGCAGAAAGACGAGGGACGGCGGGTGAGACACAGCTACAGGAGCTTGGCCACCGGAGACCGAGATGTAGAAACAGAAGAGTTAGATACAAAGTCTTTGAAGCGGAGTGGCAGGAGCAGTAGGAAAGAGGCGGGCAACCTAGAGGGAAACCGGCCCAGACACTGGGGAACAAAAGACAGAGCAGTCGGTGAAACAAGCAGAGACAAAGAGGCGGGCACAAAGAGGCTGCCAGAAATTCTAGGGACAGCTCCGCAGCCCACAAAGGCCAACCCCTGGGAAGGCTGAAGAATTAAACCCTAAAAAAAAAAAAAAAAAAGAATTAAACCCTGTTTGCATCCTGGTGGGACCCTGACTGGGGCTGTGACCTTGGGACCCACCCCCCACCCCACCCCCGCAGCAGGATGCCAGGATCTTGGCAGGCTCGCTTTTGCGGCCTCTTCAGTTCCTCTGGCAGTGGAGAGGGTTGACCTTGTTTTCTATATTAGTTTTAATGAATTAGCACCTTAGTGCCAAGACAGGAGTTTGTGATAAAATTGATACATGGAACCGGGGGCAGTCCACATGCCTATAATCCCAGCTTCTTGGGAGGCTGAGGCAGGAGGACTGCCGAGAGTTCGAGGCCAGTCTGGCCTACATAGCAAGACCCTGCCTCCCAAAAAAGAAAAGAAGGGCCAGGTATTTAGCTCAGTGGTTCTGCCGCCTGCCTTCCAAGCGCAAGGACCCGAGTTCGATCCTCAATACCAAAATAAATAAATAAATAAGAAAAAGAAATCTTAAAAGACCAAAATCCCTAATATAGAAAACTCTGAAAATAAAATCTCAGATATTGAAATCATAGTAAGAATTCCCAAAACTATAATTCCAATTGAAAAAGGAGTAGAAAAGCAAATTCTGGGGAAGAGATTAATGTTTTTTGTTTGTGGTACGGGAGATTGAAATCAAGGCCTTCGCAATGAGCTATATGTCCTAGCCCAATTTTTTATTTTTTATTTTGAGACAAATTATCCCTAAATCGCTAGATTCCCCAGGCTGTGCTCAAACTGATGATCTTCCTGCCTCCATACCCGAGTCTTGGGATTACAGGCTTGCCCCACCATGCCTAGATACTGTCTTTTCTTTTGAGACATGAGGGTCCAGAACTGGGCTCAAAGGATCCAATCCTCCTGCCTCATCCTACCTAGTTGCTGGGACTGTGGGTATACATCGCCTCACCCAGTTTGAGAATAGCATGTTTTTGGTTGTGTGTAGCATAGTTGCACTTTGTTGGACAGAGGGAACATGCCCGGCAGAGTAATGAATGCCTGTAATCCCAGCACTCCGGGAGACGGAGGCAGGAGGATTGTAAGCTCGAACCCAACCTGGACAATTTACCAATTTTGTCTCAAAAATTTAAAAAGGCTGAGTACATAGCTCAGTGCAAAGACCCTTCAATCTTCAGTGTCCAGTAGAGAGGAGGAACAACAACAACAAAGAACCTAGTAACCTAGAACCTAATAAGGGATTATTGGGCTGTATCTGAGAGTTGTCAGGGATTGCTGTGAAAGCCCAAGTGCACTAAGTGGGGAAGATTGAGGGCTGACACCCCCAGTAGCCCGAGGACCCAAAAGAACAGATGTATAAGGCAGTGATTTGCCTCCAGCCGGCAAGACAACTGGGACAGTTTCCTGGTGCCTGGGACATCAGCATTCCAGGCTGGCTGGACATTGAGCTCCAGGGTTTATGCCAGTGTAAACCACCTCTCCTTCCAGCCAAGGCTTCAACTGGAAGCTGATTTTTACATTATTGGCTTCCCTGCTTCCAGGGAAGGCTTGGGACTGGGCTGAGCCACTCCCGGCACCTGCGATTCTGCAGATGGGCTGTCCTGGGGCTTCCCCGGCCACCACAATCGTGTACCTGTTCAGTTGAATCCCCAAACAATCATGACAGATTTACAACTGGATGTGACCAGGCTTCTGAAAGCTAACTCCAAGGTGTTACCAATAAAGTTGGTTTTGTCCATTCAGCCAAATACATTTTGCAGAAAATTGAACACATAATACTGAACACATAATTGAACACTGAATTGGACACATAATAATTTTAACTACAGGTTAAAAATACATCATTTGAGCTGGGCGTGGTAGCACACACCTGTAATTCCAGCACTCAGGAGCCTGAGGCAGGAGGATTGATGCGAGTTCCAGGCCAGCCTGGGCTACCTAGTGAGTTCAAGGACAGCCTGAACAGTTTAGTGAAATCCTGTCTAGGAAGGAAAGGAGAGGAGAGGAGGAAAGAGAAAAAAAGAAAAAGAAAGAAAGAAAGATTGATTGATTCTATAAAAATTTCTGGACATGGTGGGGCAGGTCTGTGATTCTAGCACACAGGAACTTGAAGCAGGATTGCTGTGAATTCAAGGCCAGCCTGAACTGCGTAGGGAAATCCTGTCTCAAAAATAAATGAGAGGGCCGGGGATTTAGCTCAGTGGTTCTGGCGCCTGCCTTGCAAGTGCAAGGTCTTGAGTTCGATCCCTGGTACCAAAAAAACAAAAACAAAAAAAAATTGGGCCGGGGATTTAGCTCAGTGGTTCCAGCACCTGCCTCACAAGCACAAGGTCCCAAGTTCGATCCCTGAGGGAGGGCCGGGGATTTAGCTTAGTGGTTCCGCAGCCTGCCTTGCAAGCACAAGGACCCGAGTTCCATCCTCGGTACTGAAAAAATAAATAAATAAATAAATAAATAAATAAATGAGAGGGGCCAGGGATTTAGCTCAGTGGTTCTGGTGCCTGCCTTGCTAAGCACAAAGTCCTGAGTTCGATCTCTGGTACCAAAAAAAAAAAATGAGAGAGGGCCAGGGATGTAGCTCAGTGGCACCGTGCCTGCCTTGCAAGTGCAAGGTCCTGAGTTGGATCCCGGGTACCTCCCACCCCCAAAACGGGGGCGGGGGACATAGGAAGTGACAAAACAGGTTTTCAAACAAAGTTATAGGAAAAAAACCCTAGAAAGCTGAACATGAAAATGGATTAGGTCAGGGTAGTGGTATTAGATTGAAATTTTTTCTAATCATTTGCATTTTCTAGTGTTTTTCTGTGAGAACATGTGTTGGTTGTACAATACATAAATGAGAGCATGCATGCTTTTTTCTTCTTTCCTTTTTTTTTTTTGGTGGTGGCACTGGATGTTGAACCCAGGTCTTTTGCATTGAGCTACATCCCCAAGACCTTCTCACTAAATTGCTAAGCTTCATGCGCTGGGCTCAAAGCAGTTTTCCTGAGTCAGCCTCTCAGAGTGCTGAGATTACAGGCATGCGCTGCCGTGGCCGGCTGTCATTTATCAAAATCTCTGGGTTCACAGAAGAGCTCCTCGGAGTGGGAACCCAGGGCAGGGCGGTGGGGTAGAGAGTGGGGACAGGGGACCGGTTATTCTGATGGGTGGGTAAGACCTGCAGGTCAGGCAAACGCTCTACTCTGAGCTACATTCCATGCCCTAGTTCTAACAGGAGGAAGGGCCGCTGGGTGGCTGGCTGGGGTGGAATCCTCCCTTCCCTTTGCTGATATCCAAGTGCCCTCCCCAGCCCACGCAGCCCTGCATGCTGCGGGCTGCGCTTCCCCACGGCTTCTCTCGGGAAAACTCCGAAGGTGACTTAATCCACCAGGTCTGGATCCTCAGCCTCCCTGCGGGCTCAGCTCCCGTCAGGACACTAACCAGCTGGCTTTACACGCTGAAACCTTATCAGGCCTTATGGGGAGATCTCCCCCTCCCCCTCCCCTCCCCCTCCCCTCCCCTCCTCCTTCTCCCAGGGCGGGGCGGGGCGGGGCGGGGGGAGGGCTGTTGAACTCACGGAGCCCTAAGTACATCCCCTGTTAGGAAAAAGAACAGAGCAGGGACAGGTTTACTGCAGAACAAACCCGAGGGACGGCTCGCGCTGGAGACCAGAGCCGCCGCTCTCCTACAGGCTCCGCGATCTTTTGCAGGGTCTGGGAGAGGGGTTCAGCCAGAGGGGCCGTGGCTCCCGGCCAAGAACAAGGCCTGGGCGAGCACGCGGTGACACTGCCAAGCCCCAGGCTTGGGACGCAGGGAGCGGCGGGCGGTCCGGTCCGGAGCGGGGCTGGCATTTGGGAGTCCCCAGGTGCCGGCGCTGGGAGGGCGGAGAGAGGCGTCTCTGATCGGGGGCGGCAGTCGAGTCCTTCATTCCCCGCTCTTTTTGGAGACATGATCTCAATAAATGGCCTGTGCTGCCCTCGAATTTGCAGTCCCTCTGCCTCACCTCCAGCGCAGCTGGGATTGTAGGCCGTGCCCTGTGGCCGGCTGCACTGACTTCTACAGAGCTAACAGAGAGAACCGTCTCCCCAGGGGAGTTCTTAGCATCCAAGAGCATGAGATCTCACCATTCACACAATAAATTTTAAGATTATTTCAGATCTACATATTGGAACGCCTCGTGTTTGTTTGTTTGTTTGTTTGTTTTTGAGGTACTGGGTATTGAACCCAGAGGTGCTATACCACTGACTACATCCTTGGCCCCTTTTTTTTAGTTTTTATTTTGAGACAGGATCTTGATAAGTTGTCCAAGCTTTGATCAAAATTGTAGTCTTCCTGCCTCAGTCTTCTGAATAGGCCCCTATGCATGGATATGAGAAAGAATTATTAGTAGTAGTAGTATTTTAGAAAGGGTCTCACTATGTAGTTCAGGCTGGTCTTGAACTCACTATGTAGCCCAGGCTAACTTCAAAGTTGGCAATCCTCCTGCCTCAGCCTCCTAAGTGCTAGGATCACAGGGGTGTGCCATGGGACCTGGTGAGAAATTATTATTATTATTATTATTATTATTATTATTATTGGTGGGAAATTATTAATGGTATTGGGCCAGGGATTTAGCTCAGTGGTTCCGCTGCCTCCCTCGCAAAAGCAAGGTCCCAAGTTCGATTCCCGGTACCAAAAAAAAAAAAA